ATTCCATTGTTTCGGTCCAGAGGCGTCTGCGGCTAAGATGGCGCTCGGTAGTGTACCTGTCTTGACTCAGGGGCTGGCTCGGTACGAGCTAGTCTGCGCCGTCTTCGTCAGCCTGAACTTCAGACGACGCTGTCGAAGGGTCAGGATGTCTCCCTTGCTGTACTCGTCGCGACCGACCTCTCGCGCGTTTCCGGATTGTCGCTCAAGTCTTATCGCCGTAAGGGTGCCTCGTACGACTGGCCTTGGCCGTGGACGAAGCCGTGTCCGTCCTGGGAGATGTCGCCGCGGAGGCCTTCGCGCCCATCGCCGGGGTCAATGGAGAAGCTGAGCCGACCAACTCCATGATGACCTGTGTATCTGTACCGTCGTCGTCGGCCTTGCCCTATCTTGCAGACTGCGAGAGGAGGCTGAAGCTCGAAAAGCTTGCGTCGTTGTCGGTCGCGCTCTGCTGGTAGAAGAGTCGGGCGTGCTGCCTGCGTGCATGTTGCTCGCTATGTCAGTATGGCCAGCACGTCAAAGGAGATGGTACTGCACCTGTTCTTGTATGCGTCTCTCGCATTACCCGCTCCGTCGCCGCCAGGTCGTGTCGCCGCGTCAAAGAGGTCCAGGAAAGCAAGCTGCCCCGCCCGCCGCCGCCGGGCTTCGTCCAAATTGTGCCGCGGGGGTCATCGCACGCGCGTGAGCCAAAGAGAAGAATGCCGTCGCTCCTTGCCCGTCGTATAGTGTCCTTGGTCGTGGCGGTGGTTCGGCGTGGTGTGTGAGTCGGTTTGGTTCAGAAGAGGGCAGCAAGCAAGCCCTTCGTGCGGAGCAAACGTATTCGGCCGCCATCACCAATAGTACACCGACAATGACTTCGCAGTACTATCGTGCGTTGAGCAGTTAGCCACGAAAGACACGTAGGCGGTGAAGAGCGATATGAAATGTGTCGTCGTCGCCGCTGGCGAGGCTGCGGGGGCCAGCTGCTACACCACCAACGGGCTTCATGATAGACTGCCGTGGCCCGTGCGCCCCACATCGAGATTCTGCCTCCTCGCGGTAGACGACGACAAGGGGCTCAGGAGTGCTGCACGCAGCGGGGATAGCATGCCCGGGAGGTACACAGTCAGCTCTGACGAGGTCGAGACATTCCCGACATGCTGAGGCACAGCATACGACTGCAAACCTGTGGGTGATGGGCGGGCTTCACAGCCCACCAAGATACCTACGGATACGACAGCGAGATCATGGAATTGGTGAAACCATAGGCAGGCAGATGCCGCAAGGCTTGAGATGTAATATCTTAGACTTTGATAGGGGATGTAGTATCAAAGTTGAAGATGTTCATTCCATGTCTATACCGTAGGCATGCCGTGAGGCCGACTGCCCCCCTGAGCCAGCCCCCTCATGAGGGTCAGCAGACCCAGATGCTCTTTCCCCGCCAGCGTGTACCGGAGTGTCACGGATTACGTGTCATGAGAGAGAAGAGGGGCAGACTTTCGCGTCGCTTCTTCTTCCCTCTTCATCTCATTCTACTTCACTCTGAACTTCCGCTGTGGACCGCATTCGCCATGCCTTTTTCAGTATCGCTGGCCATGCATCAGTACCGTTGTCTTTGCTGGTATCGGTACGCCCAATGCCGCAGTACGCGAGGGGAGTCAGTTGGTCACTGCCCTTTCGACGGCACCAACCCCAGGATGAGCACAACCGTGTCCGCCGTGAGCGCAAGCCTCATCACCGTCGACAAGTCGGTCATTCCATAACACAACGCCAGTGACAAGACTCCTGAGCTACTAGGAGCTGTCTTCTGTCATCTCTTGTACTCCGTGAGCGGAATCTGGCTGCGTTTCGAGCTCGCGTTGCTACTTTCCGTCGCGACTTTCAGATGAGCCATCTCCGTCCCACCTTGAGCTTCACCACCATCGCACATACGTGTATACCCCCCACAGTTACCCCGAAACTACATTCACACGCCTGGACTATGTTCTCGACGAAGTCTTTACTTCGCCCCTAGGGTCGAACGCAAGTCACATCACTGTCTCTACGTCGAGGGCGGCCAAGATGCTGAGCACCTCAAGTTCCTGGTCCAGAACCAGATGAAGCGTTACTGCCACCACATCGGCAAGCAGATGTCCTAGACCTCCCTCCCAGAGCCGCCGACCTATGTTGGGGGCTACGACTTAATACTCACACCCTTCGCTTGATCATAAGATGCCCACCACGTAATACGTTCGTCGACTTCAAGAAGTGTGCCAACGTCGGATACGCTTTCATCAACTTCACGGACGTCGCTGGCATGCTCATCGAGCACTTCCTGGTCACACCCGTCACAGCGCACAAAGACAATGGCAGATCCTTGAGCATCGATGTTGGTGGCACGAACTTAAGAGTCGGCTTTGTTGAGCTAATCGGAGAGCCAGATGGCGGCGGCGTCGTCAAGTCAAGTCACCGCCATCCTCATCGGCAAGCAGGCGTACAAGACCTCCCTCCCCAAGTCGCCTGCCCATGTTGTGGGCTACGACTTCATACTCACACCCCTCGCTTGATCATAAGATGCCCATCACGACGGTTTGGGGGCTCTTCTGGTCCCTTCCACGGCACCCAGAGCAACCGCAAGCGCTGGATGTAAGCACCGAAGAGAAGGGCAGATTCTTAAGCATCGATGTTGGTGGCACGAACTTAAGAGTCGGCTTTGTTGAGCTAATCGGAGAGCCAGATGGCGGCATCACCGTCGTCAACTAGCCGCAATTCCCATTGGCAAGCAGGCGTACAAGACCTCCCTCCCAGAGCCGCCGGCCTATTTGTGGGCTGGAACATATACTCACGACCCACTCTTGATCATAAGATGCCCAAATCTTCGTTGGTGGCACAGACCTAAGAGTCGGCTTTGTTGAGCTAATCGGAGAGTCAGATGGCGGCATCACCGTCGTCAACTCACTGCTATCCCAATTGGCAAGCAGGCCGCGAAGAAGTTTCTTCCAGAGGCCCCGGCCTCGACCGTGTCCGCCGTGAGCGCATCCTCGACGGCAGCGATGTTCGAACCACCGTCATGCTACACTGTGGGCTACAACTTATACTCACACCCCTTTCTTGATCATCATCTGTCCATCTCTTCGTTGGTAATCCCAACGCGCCGCAGCAGGCAGGAGGGCAAGATTGGCAGAGCCAGTTCCCTCCTCATCCCCCTTCGATGGCACCAACCCGACGGTATACTCTCCCGATGTCGAGCGCAAGCCCCACCACCATGGCTCAAGGAGGCCAAGGACGGAGGTATCGTTGGCGCTGGGGTACTTGCAGGCATGACAGATGAGATAGTGTAAGAGTGAATGGGTCATCTCTTGCCTTCATTACATCCACCTCTTGTACAATACCAAGACCCTTCTTCGACATCATGTCGCACCCTTCACCCAACTCATCCTCGGGCAACGGCCCTCCAGAATCTGGAAGCCGCAGTCCGCATGCCGCCTTCCCAACCAGCTTGGTACATCTGCATCACGCCTGCAGTACACACTGTCAGAACGTGGGAAGCTTGCCCCTCGGGCACAGAAATCGCAGTGTCGATCCCGATGACGCATATCCAACTCTACTTCGAGGAGCACCCCCATCTTGCGCCAGTCACGCACCACCCCCTGTAAACATCGCAGTACAAACGCGTCTTGTGTGATGCAGGAGACTCCTCGTCGTTCGGCACGTGGTTCTGATAGCGACAACTGGCGCGGAGGTTCCTCTGTCCCCAGCAGCACGAAGCCTTCACGAACATCCCTGACCAGATCTGCTTCGGAACTTACGACTTCCTGTATCTCCGCATCGATTTCATCTCTCTGTTGGGAATTACAATCGTTCATGACGGCGAGCTCACTCACAACACTCTTTGCCGTGTCAAAGACATCACAACTGCCTGAGATGAGTACTCAAGACAGTGAGTACCGCCATCATTTCAGCACGTTCGACCGCGGTAGCAGCCCCCGAGACAACCTTCAAACCGCTATGCACCATGCTCATCAGCACGCTGCTCCTCTCCAGTTCGGTGGCGAGCTCACTCACAACACTCTGCCGTGTCAAAGACATCACAACTGCCTGAAATGAGTACTGAAGGCAGTGAGTACCGCCATCATTTCAGCACGTTCGACCACAGCGGTAGCTCCCGAGACAACCTTCAAACCGCTATGCACCATGCTCATCAGCACGCTGCTCCGCTTCAGTCGGTGGCGGCGGCCACTGCGGACCCATCCCCTTCGACTCCATCCCGATGACGCATATCCAACTCTACGTCCAGGGGTGCCACTGCATGTACGAACGGCCTCTTCCTCGCCCAGACAACATCTCCAAGTCGCAGCTTTCCATGGGAAGTGCTCTAGCTACGGACATGCAGGAGACTCCGTACTTCTGCCCTCATCTTTTCATCGCTCAACTAGTCTGTAGTTGAGTGATGAAGAGGCGTGGACGGCAGTATGGGGTCTCCTGCATGACCGTGGCTGGAGTACTACCCGTGGATTGCTACTACCTCATCTTCCGCTCAGCATGTGCGACAACGAGAACCCTCTCGAGACGGCATCACGCACGGCAATGTCGACGACTTCACGGTTACATCCAACAATCTCCTCACGTCAAAGCCACCAGGATCTGGCGAAGGAAGACAAGCAAGTCAAAGATCAAGACATCACCACATCAAGTCACGAAGCAAGAGAAGGAACAAGTTTGGTGAGCAAAGCTCATGAAGTTTTGATTGGAAAGCAAGTATTAGGTACATTCAGGTTCATCGGTGGCATCCATCATCAGGTCAGATCATCTCTCAATCGACCAACCATCCACGCCATGAACAAAATCGCATCGAATCCGACCCAGAAGACATACACCCGATACAGTGTGTCAATAGCCATACCGAACAAATCGTAAAGAGAAATCCTGGTCTGGCAAAAATCTGGGAACAGATCGAAAACAAAGAAAGAAGCCGTGTACTCGTTGCGCAAGGTCTACCCGGAAGAGACGTTGCGACCGTGTATGCGTCGGTGGGTAAACGGTGTTTACATGAAGCGCTTGCGGTTGCCCTGGGAGGGACCAGAGGAGCCTCCACGCCAGTTGTCGCTATCAGAACCGCGTCCCGAACGCCGAGGGGTGCCGTTGCCGCTGCCGGAAGAACGAGCCATGGTCAGACGAACTGGCGCAAGATGGGGGTGCTCCTCGAAGTAGAGTTGAATATGGGTCATCGGGATGGAGTCGAAGGGGATAGCGCCGCGGTGGCCGCCGCCGAAGACGTGCAGGTACCAGGCCTCGATCTTCTGCTTCTGAGCCTCAGTTATACCGCCGAACACGAGGGGAGCAGCGTGCTGATGAGCGTGGTGCATGGCGGTCTGAAGGTTGTCTCGGGGGCTACCGCGGTCGAACGTGCTGAAATGATGGCGGTACTCCATGCCGGCAGAGTATCCTCGAGGGGCAAACAGGCCAGTGCTACGAGCACTATCGATGGAGCGCTGCAGCTTCGAGATGTTGTCGGGGCGGGGGAGAGGCAGCTCGGTACCGGCGTGGCGAATGGAGTTCATCATCTCTGCTTCGTCCTGGGTGATGAAGAGGCGCGGGCGACAATAGGGCGTCTCCTGCATGACCGAGGAGTTCCGGAACTTCTGAACAAGCGCCTCGCGTCCCTGGATTGTCGCATACGAGATCCCGAACTTCTTGTCGGAGATGAAACCAGGCCATGAGCGGAACTCCATCTCGAGGAGCATCAGCATGCCGCCGACATCCGTGAAGTTGATGAAAGCGTAGCCGACATTGGCACACTTCTTGAAATCGATGCGCAGATAGAGGAAGTCGTAAGTTGCGAAGCAGATCTGGTCCAGGATGTACTTGAGTGTCATCTATCAAAAGAGTTAGTAAGGCTTCGGGACAGACGTGGAAGGAAAGACTTACCCAGTCGCATGAAGCCGGGATATTGCGGAGCATGACAGTGGTGCGAACATCGCTCCCGTCGATGATGCGCTCACGGCGGACGCGGTTATGCTCATCCTGGGGTTCTTCGTTGCGGAATGGACCGCGGTACGGGCGACGAGTATCGCCGCGATGTTGGAAGCGGTGAGGGCCCAGCGGACGCTCATCGACCCAGTCACCGACGTTGATGGTGGACCAGAAGTACGATCTCTGTGAGAAGGTTAGCAAGAACAGAAGAGTTGGAGGTGAGGTGCTTACATCAGCACCGAAGCCATAGACAGGCGTGCGGCGAAGAGACTGGATGGCGCGCTGTGCGGCGTCGATGGAGTCGAACTCGATCCGGAAGATCAGGCGCATCTCCTCGTGAACAGTGTCGACGTGGACGACGTTGCGAACATTGCCAAACTCCCTGGCGATGAGATCGATCTGGTTCTTGATATCTTCATAGTCCTCGGCAGTAAACTCCCAAACAGCGTGCTCGGGGTTCGCGTCGATGAACATTGACAAGAACATCTGGCCTTCGTACGGTTGGATATCGCGGATGTCCTTGGCCATGGACCGGGCGAGGTCGTCCATGGTCGCGTAGTGGGTCGAGAAGCCGGCTTGAATGAGGAGATCCCGAGCTTCGATAGCGTCGGAAAGGCTGTCGAATCGAATGAAGATCGCAGCGTGAGGGTCTTGGAGGAAGATGGCCGAGTGCTTGAAGCAGTCGTACTACAAGAGGTTAGTGTGAAGCATGGTGGAGGAAGGGGACGACACTTACGCGCTTCATCTGGTTCTGTACCAGGAACTTCAGGTGCTCAGCATCTTGACCGCCTTCGACGTACAGGTAGCGAGAGACGAAGGTGTTGTTGAACTCATCGAGTTCATCGACGAAGGCACCCTCGACATACGCCGGCGGCTCCGGAAGAAATTTCTTGGCGGCCTGCTTCCCAATGAGGATAGCAGTAAGTTGACGACGGTGGTTGGGCTTGCGCTCGACATCGGGGGAGTACACGGTTGGGTTGGTACCGTCAAAGGGGGATGAGGGAGGACCGTTGGCCGACGAGGAGTTGGGTGAAGGGTGAGACATCTTTGGATGTTGAGGAAGGGTCTTGATGTTGTACAAGAGGTGGATGTAAAGAAGGCAAGAGATGGATGATTGGCAAAGCTCAAGCAAGGAGTCTGTCAATATCAGGTGGGGATGGGGATGTGGGTGGGTGTGAGTGGGCAAGAGGTGGAAGGCGCGGGGGAAGGGCTGTTTATATACTGGCGCCAGCGCCGAAGCTCCGGAGGTCAGGTGACGGCAGTATCTGAGGCCAGAGAACTCACCGTTCGGATTGGGAGCAAAAGAGTCAGAGAGAAGGTCGTGGTGAGGAAGTCGCGGCGAGGGCTGGCGGAGGAACTGGAAGGAAGCGATTCGGATATCCCACGACGCCAGGAGAACCACCAACCGGACGGGGCCAGACGAGCATGAGGAGATAGCGCTCGACGAGCTCTACAACTTCTGTTTTTCAGGCATACGAGGCATCAATGGAGTTGGTGATGCATCGCAGCTGCAAGACGAAGCCTGAGGTTGAAGTTCCATCCCTCAACCGCCTTTGCACGTTATCCCGAGGACCCACTCACCGGTTCTAGCGTCGTCCAGGCCGTCTGACCGCCTACTAGCGGGCACCGGAGGGGCAGGATGACGGGAGGGGCAGGAGCGTGAAGAAGCGCCGGAGATGTGAAAGTGCGTGAGAATGGTGTCAGAAGAAGTCTGCAGCGAGTTGGAAGATATAGGGGATTGCTATGAGCTGGAAGTCTACGTGGCATTGCCAAATCTCCCTCTCAACCACGTGGAGGTGAGAGAAATTGCCAGATTTCATTGACCGAAAGCTGGAGAAACCACTAGGACACGCGTTGAAAGCATGTTGGTGGATCTCACGATGTCCGCGGGGAGCTCATGAGGCCGGCACATGCACATTGTCAGCTGGAAGCGTGTGCAACGAGCGGGGGGCGATCAAGAGCATGATCCCCAGACGCGTAAGCTTCTCCGCGTCATTCTGTTTGTTGAGGCAGCAGCGGCTGCTTGTGGCAGGCAGGAAACAATCACGGTCATTCTAGGAAGGCACGTTGAAGCGGGGCGGGCAGCAACTCCAAAGCTGAACATCGTGGAGACGGTGAGACTCCAGAAAACGTGGCATCGGGAACCAGCTTCTTGGGAATCAACATCTCGCCCCTGAGATCCAGCAGCTTCTTGTGAATTCAGAGGCCGCGGGGATGGTGCTGAGCCGGCTGGGTGGGCAAGAGCGACTCCAAGCATGCGGACAGCTTCACAGGGGCGCGGGCACGATCATTTGCATGTATGGGATTGAAGACCGACACAGAAAGGATGAGAAGATTATCAGTAGAGACTCAGCATTCTGTGGGGACCGCTGCTCCTGAGCGCGCTCCGTGACTGCCCAAACGGCAGGAGCAACAATTCGCGACTCCAGGCGTGCAGACAGCTTCACGGGGCGCGAAAGTGATCACTTGCATTTCCGAGACTGAAGACGACCTTGAGACCGACGAGAGGCTCACTGAGAGGGACTCGGCATTACGTAGTAACCCATGCTCTCGAGTGCGCTTCGTAACGGCTAAAGGGGCGGAGCCTGCCAGCTCGCGACTTCAGGATTGCGGCCAGCTTCAAGGGGGCGCAGACATCGTCACTTGCATTGTCGGGAAGGAAGACTGTCTCCAAGCCGACCTCGAGCTCGTCAGCAGAAATCCAGCATCGCATGTGAGATCTGCTGTAGAAAGCGGTCCGCGACTGCCTCAAGGGCGAGGCTACAGGTTTGCGACTCACGGCAGGAGCGACGACAGCGAGGGGCAGAGCAATATCCGGGTACGTAGAATGAACAGTAGCATTTGCTGGACATTCACGAGAAAACCGCTGCTCGAATCGCGACCCTCAACATGCTCTGCGAAAAGGAGGCCTGAAGACCCTCGCGACCTCCGCGACAGCGACTCGAGCGGCCTGGACGGACGTGAGCAGCTTCAGACTCTACTTTGTCATCACAGGAAGCATTCAGTCACTCATGAACATCCCATGACGGACGTAGACCGCTCATCACGAGGTTGCGCGAATGGCTCCTCCAAGGTCCAGGGTCTGGCGGGCTGGCAGAGCGCGCGACGAGAACATCACGGCCTTTGCGGCAGACAGGCACTGGCAACTTCAAAAACTAGACCGGGAGCGCCTACTGCTCCTGATCTGTAGCTACTGCATTGCCCCTTTCCCTCAGACCCATTCCGTCATGTTGGCTGTCCGCGACCAAAGGCTCAACTCCACAAGGCAGGCCAGGGAGACCGCGCGACGAGACTATCACGACCCTCATCAGGAGACTATGCGACTCGGGAAGCCAGCAAGCATATGGAGAGCATGAAATGGCCCTGGCCTGTAGCTACTGGACTGCCCCTTTCCTGGTAAAGCTCTATCCTATATGTCCGTTGTCTATTGTCTGTCAACCTTTTCCGCCTCTCCTCAACTCCAGTATCAGTCCAACTCTACGCCGCCCGTCGCACGATAGCCTCGAGCTGCTGCCATTGGCGTCGGGAGCGCAAGGCGAGAAGGATTGTCAGCCTCGTCGCTGGCGGACCAGGGCGCTGCCTCCTCCGCTGTCCGACTCGACTGCGACATACCCTCGACCCAAGGGCTGGCAATTGAGTACAGAAACCTTCTCATTGACTCGCCGTATAGTCTCCTCCCCATTGTGTGCCCCCACATGTTCCTGTCGTGCCTCCACCTTGTATACTCGGTCTCGTCGTACGGTCGGGGCGCTCGTGGCAGCGGCTTAAGGCGTATACGATCGTAGGTTAGGAGGACGACGGCGGTGACTCGAGGGAGGGCAGTAGCTACATCGCGCTGTGGAAGGGCTCGTCGAAAGGCGTTGCCGTGACGAGGGCGTCGGGGTAAAGTACGCACTTCACCCCCGTCGATGCATACCCCACTTCGGATATCCTACACCAAAACATTAGCTCGTCTCCCTCTCAATAGCAGCAGGCCGTTCTCCCAGCCTCGCTGAATACCGCCGTCACCGTCACTACGCGTAAAGCGCCCAACAATAGCGAAGCCAGACCGTCGCCAAACGCAGTCTTGGCACCCCCAAATCGCCCACATAAAAGCTCGAAAACCAGCTTCCCCAACTCCCCAAACCAGCTCCAACAAGCCCATCACCACCATCACAACAAGCTCAACTACTACCACCACCACTACTACTACTACTACCACAAACCCACCTTCCCTCCTCACCCCCGCATCCTCCATCACCAAAAGATGGAAAACTTCACCATCAACCTCTCCGACCTCGACGTCCCCTCCCTCGCGGAGTTCCCGCACCTCCCGCCCGCCTCCGACTCCCCGGCGCAGAAGCGCCTCTACTGGTTCTTCCGCGGCCTTGAGGAGATGGCGAGCAAGCTGTACGAGCGCATCGAGATGTACCAGCACCTGGAGGAGACGCTGGATGAGGAGGAGGAGGCGGAGCTCGAGGAGCTGAACAAGGGGGTTCTCGTGGTGTTGACTGCGGTTAATTGGGCGGGCAGGCTGTATGGTGGGGAGGGGTATGAGGATGCGGTTTGAGTGGTAAGTTTTATTGTGGGTGACTTGAATTGGTGCGGTTTTGCTAATTCGGCTTCAGGGATTTGGAGATTTTGGGCGGGATTGGTGGGCGGCCGGGCGTGAGAGGGGAAGAGGCGTTTAGGAATGTGTTTTGATACCCAGGTTTTGTTTTCTGGTGGGCGTTTGGGCTGGTGGTGGGATTGAGGGTGGGGGGTTAGTAGATGCGGCAGCTATGATGAGCGTAAGTCCGCGAATGAACTTGATTACTCTTGCACTTTGACTTGTCATTGATGTCGTGTACCTGGGATGTATTCAATAATTTTGTGTTGTGCTATTGCATGTTCTCTGACCCTATGTAGTCATCATGTACCATTTGCATACTCGGGACCGCCATTTTGAGGATACCATGTCTTCGACGGCATGCTTCATAGTCCTACGAAGATGCTCAAATCTCACACTGACTACCTCCCCGCGACACGATCCACAATCTTCCATCACATAAAAATACATCGAAGGCATACAGGCCTCACTCAACATTTCACACAACATCAGACCAATTCAGACAAACATCAATGTCAATAGCCATATACTAGAGTATCACATCCAAACGCCTCCTAGTTCCCTCAATCCCCCAAATCCGCATGCCCATGTCCAAGAAGACCCCAGCTTACTTCCTACCCTCCCCTTCCCCCTCAAACATCCACCTATCATCCTCCAAACTAGCCACCTTCTTCTTGAGACTACTTTTCAACGCAGCCCGAATCTCCTCTTCCACAGCAACAGCATCCCACTGTGCGTTTGTCTTGCCGTAGAGTTGTATCATCTCGTTTTCTTGCTCTGTTCACATGCACACGTCAGCATTCACCCCATACCACCTCACACCAGTCTCCGACTTCTTTCCCAGAGAATGGAAATGGGATCAACATACCACCCTCCTCATCCCCCTCACTCCCCACGCCCATTTCCCTGTACACAGGCGCCGGCGCTTTGACAATATATTCTCCGATATCGTCGCGCTCGACGAACTCGTCTTCGGTGGGCTGCATGAAGATGTCTTGTTCTATTTCGCGGCTGTCGGGGCGGATGGAGGGTGCGGCTTGGTTCTGGCGGCGCGCGGGTTGTTGTTGCGGTTGCGCCTGTTGTTGTTGGGCGGTGTGGGCGGCGAAGATGTTGCGGCGGGTTGTTGGGGGGAGGCGGATTGCGCGGTTGTCCATGGTGGATTGGTTGTATGGGGTTATGAGGTTGAGCAGGTGTTTGTGCAGAGAGGTAGAAGGCGGGATGTGGAGTGAGGTTGGATGTTGATGGTGGTTTGGGGTTGGTGGGATGAATGGCGCGCCGTAGCTAGTCAGGTACAAGTGTTTGGTGGGGCGGCTGGGGTTTGGCATTGCGACACTCCCGCGGCGAAACCTGAGGCGCGTCTTCGTAACACCGACAGCAAACACCTGCGCAATTACATCATGGCTTCTACGGATCTTCCTGCGCAATCGCCAAGCCCACCGGCGGATACAGAAGATCGATCGCCGCCCCGGAAACGACCCAGAACTCGCGCGCCTCCGAAAGCAGCTGCTCCAGCCTCAACTCCCGCGACGAATATAGAAATGCCGACTGCTAAGAGCACGGCTCCGGCGCCTGATACCCCAGTTCATCGCTTCTCGATACAGCCTGTCAACCGCTTCCGCGGCGCGTCGGCCAAGATAAAGCGCCCTCGCGAAGTCGCACACTTCTCATACGACGACAACCACGAGTACCAGCATGATGAGTCGGGCATCAACTACTACATACCACCACCAATGGGCGCGGATCTGAAGGAAGGCTTCGAGACGTTCAAGCACTATGAAGACAGGGAAGATCCCCATCTGGACAGTCTGCTGAGGGCGCTCATGGAAGACAAGACGGGCAAGGAGGAAGTCAAAGCCGACTTCATGACTTGGCGAGGCATGATGACCAAGGTATGTTGAAGCAGGCCGGCATAAGATATAGCAAGGTAAGCGAAACCAGCTTTCTTACCTTGCTGCTTTCAAGTCACCTCCATTCTAACCAACCCCAGATCATGACCGCGCCCTTCGACAACTTCGCCGAATTCAGCATGTTCGCAACCCTCCACAACAACACCATCTACATCGAAGAAGACTTCCCCTCCCGAGCCGCAGACCGCGCAGCAGAAAGCACGCGCCCACCTCCCCGCCACCAACACCCCGACCAGCAATCGCGCGAAATGATGACATACTGGGGCTACAAATTCGAGAAACTCGCTCTCATACCCACGCTACCTCAAGACACGCCACGGGAAGAGATCGAGCGGTCCCAGAAAGGCGTTGTGTCGAATCACGCGCAACACTGCTCCATCGTCCACACATCCTTCGGGCCCCATAGCCTCATACTAGGCGGCGAAGTCGACGGCCTCCTCGCGCCCAAACCCACAAACCCGGATGAGCAGGTACAATGGGTCGAACTCAAAACAAGCGAAGAGCTTCCTCCCCCACGCCAACAACAACACCGCGACATCCTCAAATTCGAACGCAAGCTCCTCAAATTCTGGGCCCAGTCGTTCTTGCTCGGCGTACCTAAAATCACCGTGGGCTTTCGGAGTAAAGCTGGTATTCTAAGGAGTCTACAGACGTTTAACACGCATGAGATACCGGGTATGGTGCGTCAGGGCACGAACTGCTGGGATGGGAATGTGTGTATTAATTTCGCGACGGAGTTTCTGGGATGGCTGAAAGGGGTTGTGGTGGGAGAAGGGGTATGGAGTATTGTGCTGAGGAAGAAGAGCGGGGTTGTGGAGGTGAGGAGGGTGAGTGATGGGACGGGCGATATCGTGAGTATGGAGTTCAAAGAGTTCAAGGATAAGGGATCTGAAGCTGCGCAAGATGGCGGAGGGGAAGGCGAGGCGCAAAATGATGGAGATGCTGCGGAGCACGTTGCGACATCGTGAGTGGGTGGCTCGCCTATGGCTCTGGGAGATGTTTCGCGGGTAAATCTACAGTCCAATCTGAAGGGCGGAGTTGCCCATCCCATCACGTGCAATAATGAAACCATGGTTGGCATGAGATATTCACCAGCACACAACCAACATGCTCCTGAGATCTGCCTTTGCCTTTTCCCTCATTCTGGATAACCAACCTATCTCTATCCTACACCCACGCCCAACAATATCCAACACCAGACTACGACATTACCTCTAACCCTCGCACTTTGTCTTCGACAACCCCAACGTATACCTCAAACACGCACAATGCCACCCACCCAAACCACCTCCACACGGCGTACCCGTACCCGTCGCTTCATCCCCACCCCCTGCATCCACACCGAAGCCCGCCTACTCAACCATGATAGTTTGCAAATCGTGGAGAAGGCATCAGCCATCACCACCTCACACGAAACGGCACAGCGGAATGATAGTTCATCCATCGAACAAGACCCCCACCAACAACCCCAGCAAACCCAACCAGACCGCCAACTCCAGCACATCGACAAACTATTCGAACGGTGGGACAAAGCAGTAGAGACGCAAAACGAGTTGACTCGGTGGATTAACGGTGTTAAGAACGAGCGTGAGAAGGAAGAAGCTAGACGGGTGTATGATGAGGTGTCGAGCGAGTGGGAGGATTTGGGCGAGGTTTATGGGAAAGAAGGGGGTTGGTATGTTTTGGGTGAGAGGGAGGGAGGGGTGTTGGTGAGGTGGGGGTGGAAGGGGAGGGGGGATGCTGAGAAGGGAGGGAGGGTGGTTAGGTGGTTGGGTGGGGTGGTGTGAGTGTGAGTGTTGGTTAATTGGAGGGAGGGGGAGGAGATCGGAGGGATGGAATTGTTGTGGATTTATTTCCATTCTTCTTCTCCTTCTAGCTCATCGATGTATGTATCATCATCCATAGGTTCTCCTGCCACCCATCGCGCTGCTAAACGCCCTGTCTCTTCTCCTACTCTTTGCGTCCTGCTAGCCGGTACAACGTTCATCCCATGATTCGCATCAGTAACAACAATAAGCTGCGATTTCGCCGTCAGCTTATCCCTCGTTTCGTTCAGCGTATCGATGGGGCACATGGCGTCTTCATCGCCGCTGATGAAGAGTATGCGGACGTTCTTTGGTAGGTCGAGTAGGATTTGGTCCCGTAGTTCGTCTTTGGGCCCGAGAAGTGGGTAGGAAACGAGTATGAGCTGTATGCTCAACTCTTCTGCTTCCTTGTCGTCTAACGAGGCGAGATGTTCACTGGCAGCAATGACAGCGGCGCGCGCCCCCATGCTTCGTCCGCCTAGTAACAATGTCTTCTTGCCAGCCGTGTTCTCTTTTGTTCCCTTTTGCGCAGTCGGTTGATTGGACTTCAGCTCATCGATACATGCGTGGAAGCCCTTGGTCCGCGCTTTGAGGTTCATCGAGCCTTGGAATGCGAGAACGGGGAGAGATAATGAGTATCCGGTGCAGAAGTTTACTACGGCGTCGGCGGAGAGTGTGCCGCCTGCGCCGTGGGTGAATATTAGGGTTGGTGATGATGTGGATGGCGATGATGTGGGGGTGTATTGGTGGCATTCGATTGGTTTCTTGACGAGGTCGTGTGTGATGGTGAGGGTTGTACGATTCTGAGGTGCTGGGTCACTCTCTCCATCGAGCTGCGCGTCTGCCTCTGGTTTCGCATCCTTTGGTGAACGCTTCTCAGGATCAGCCGCCTGTCGTCCTTTCGTCGTCTTTGGTTTCGCCTCAGGTGGTTTTGTTGTGGAGTCTGGTAAGTCTTTCGCATCTCTTGTGTTTGTCTTGGCAGATGAGCGCGTGATACGCCTCTTGGGATCGGGTGTCGACGCCGAATTAGAGGTCTTTTGGCGTTTTGGTGGCATGTTCGGGGTGGCTTAAAGGTGCGCACTTGTTCGACTGCGACGTTTCTGATATCCCTTTCAAGCTAGGCCTATTGCCGCCGATCACAAGAAAGATAGAGTGAGGTTTGTTTGATGAGGACAATCGTGTCTGCCTCAGGGCCTCGTTCGCGTGTTGGAAGTTGCTGTGACGTAAGCGACGTTCAGCCTCCCAGCCACTTCCCAGCCACCAGCCACAACCCTTCAGATGCGCTAGTATCCTGTGATCTCAACTCTGCAACCGGGACACCTCTCGTGGCTGCATTCTGTGCAGATGTTTTGCCAAACGAGGACTGGACCGTTGCTACAACAGTGGCAATACCAGACATATTTGTTGTCATACGAGCTTGAAGCGTATGAAGCGTATGAAGTCGTCACTGCAGGCAAAGTAGCCGCGGAGCTTCCTCCATTATCACTGGCATATGGTAGTGCACACGTCTCCTCCGTGTGAAGATAAGATCCGCATTGTGTGCAAGACAAGTGATCTGGCGGATCAGTCGATGCTCCAGCCTCTTTCTCTAGCGTTTGTGCTGATGTCGTGTCAATAGCCGCGGTGTCCGAATTTGCGATTCCAGTATCGTGCATCATGCGCAGGATGGTATTAATCTCCGAATTGTTTTCTGGTAATCTTGCTGCTTGTACGTCGAGAACATGTTTGACGTCATCAAGAATGTCGCAAAGAGGCACCATGTAAACATCTCCGAGGGCGTCATCCGCGACCACTTGCCCGAGGACAGTGATTTTGCTGCCTGTCCTTTCATGTGAACGGGTTTCCGTTAAGCTTGGGGACCGCATGCTGTTCACTGGCTCGGTCAGATCCGTTGACACCCAGGTGCCCGAGGTGCCTGCTGGTATCCCTACATTTCATTAACTAGGTACCCCGAGCTAAAGGCTGATCACTTACTCTGAGCGTTCCGTATTGTAATTGTGTGAACGCGTACGAAGTCGCTACCATATGACAGAATCGCAAACGAAGGAAGACGAGACAGTTGTCCGATAAATGAAGGTTGAAGACTCATCTCAGCATTGTCGTCCATCGAAACAGTATACGGTTTAGGGTCACCTAGGACATATCTTTCGAAAGCTTTCCCATCTTGGTTAACGCTGTCAGGTTGGTCCACTATGGCTTCCAACAAAGCCCAATCGCGATCGCATGCTCGGGTGGAGAAGGACGCCGACGCGACGTCGGCAGTGCCGGACCACTCAATCGATTCCCGAGAGTCAGTGGTGAGATTGTATGTGGCATTTCGCATTGTTGGACTCTCCGCTGATTCCAGAACTCGTAAGGGTGCAAACGTAGTGAGGTCGGGAAGGAGATTCCGCGCTGCGTTGAGCTCCTCGTTCGCCTGCTCGGTCTCGATCTCGTCCTCGAGATCGTCTTGAACAATGCTATGGCCGGCAGTCAAGCCAAACATAGATTCAACCCCACTCTTATCGGTTACTACAATATAACCTCCCATTGTAGCGTAACGTGTTCCGCCAATACCGTCAATCTTGAGAGGAATATTCCTATATCTCCGATTCCCGTTGCCCGTGTGCCCCATTTTGATAAAGACTGGGCAGAGATGCTGCGATGTAGTCGGCTGTATCGGCTTGCCTACAACAATTACATCGAATGATGCTGGGCCAACCTTGCCAGGTTGACAGAGGCGTCTGGGGGTATCTCTTCGGAAATATTTCTCAACCAAGTCGCTAACACAGGCTGGACAAAACACGACGATGTAAGGTTTGGCTGAGTTTTCGTCCGTCCCCAAGACTAGTAGACGTATGGCGAAGGGTCGAAAGTTTTTCTTGGATTTACGCAGGCTTTGCAGAAGCTCACCTTTCAGGCGTTTGGTGACGTCCTCGAAATATAGGCTGGTTTTCTCGTCGACATCTTTCTCGAATCGCGTCAAGCCCCTGATTGTGTCGACAGGTTGGCTAATAGTATTATTGGTATTTGTGGCGTCCGGGGAAGTTGCTGTGCGAGAAGGGGCCTGCATGCTGTACGCGTGAAGACAAGAATGTTAACAAAGTCAAGGGTCGAAGAAGGTCACTATTTCTGTGAATCTAAGCACACAATGCATGGGATACATGACCGGTAAGAAGCGAGAAAAAAAATCCCCGGTATCAATGCATCAGCGCCCAGATCTGCCCGAAAGAGTGCCTTGTCAGCCAAAGCTCCAATGAATTGAAGTACAGCCATGTCGGTCTGCATGTGTGGCGGCCAATCATGCAAGCACTCAGCCACGCGTGATCCTGGCAGGCTGAACTTCAAGAAAAAGTAGCAGCTCCAAGGCATCCCTCACGCTCGAACACGATAGGTGCTCCAGTCTCATCCTCCGATGGCAGCAGCTCCCACGACACCGTTCTTGTTGGACACGGTGAATACCGAACAACTACAGAAGCTGGGTAAGGTTATGTGGAACTGGGACCTTTGTAGCACATGCAATGGGGCTGCGACGTGCAGTCAGCTAGAATGTCCATGGAGGGGCGCAATACGATTTGACACATTCTGGGATCGGTACAGGACCCTGACCGAGGATTATGCACCAGAAGGTACCACGTTCTCGCGTCCAGCTTTGTCATCCCATGATGACCTTCTCCGCCTCATCCAGACTATCAGAGACAACCCAGACCTGGACCGAGAGCGCATTATCAACTCTCACTTTTCGGTCGGCAATTCGAACGGAAAACTTTGCACAAATGCCGTGGATCAGGACCGAGCGGTGAATATAGCAGCTAGTGTTATGTTCATGACCAATTGTGGAACATCGCAGGATTGTGCGGATTTCCTGGAGGAAGGCGGCCCATCTATCTCCTGGCGGAGCGACGTGACTGTCACAAACTTCGTTTGCGAAGCATTCCCACGTACGAGCCCTGGCCTTTTAGGGGGTAGTCTAGGCGACACCAGACTGTCTGACTTCCTTGGATCGCTGGCTGCGAGCAAACTTGTGAAGGCTGGATTCAGGCTCGAACCGACTAATGATCTGCGCAGCCATTTGACAATGGATTACAGTGGGAAAAGAAAGGTCATCCGAATTTTCCACTGTTCTGCAGTACTGAAAGAGATGTTGTTGGCAAGTCGACCAGATGGAAGTCGCTGCTTGGTTCCACGATCGCTCGCCCTGGAGGTCCTGGACATACTGTACAACATCCTTTTCCCCGACGACCGGTCGGGTGCATACATTACAAAGTGCGGCTTCGATCCAGATCTACTGCGATACGATGTGTCCCGATACCAGCGGAAAGACGACCCTGAAGTTGACCACAGCTATTTTGGTAACCGACTCAAGGAGATCTACGACGAGGTGCAGAACCCGACTCCTCGCGACGACTGGGCGAACTGGATCCACAGACACAGCGCGCAGCGGTACATGATGATGGCAACAATGATCGGAGTCTTCATCGCGGTAATCATCGGAATCCTTGGCCTCGGAATCTCGGGTTTCCAGGCTTACGTGTCGTACCAGCAGTGGAAGCATCCTGTAAAGGATGCATGAATTGAAGACAGGTGTTTCGAACGCGCAACAAGCGGTGACGGGCCTGTGGAGGCTCTCCCCGATGGATTTCGGTGATGACACGATGGAGAGAAATGGGATGGTGGGGAAAAATGGGCGGCAGGGAGGGACAAGCGAGATGGCAGCCGCGCCCGCGCACGCGAAGCGGCTCCTCAAGATAGCACGTTGATCGTACTACTGTACGACTCACGCACGACAACGACTCACATGCTTCATGCATCATGCATCATACACCACTGCGTCCGATACTTCCCTTGAGTGACAAGTATACTGAGTAGCTTCTACCTTTACAACGTATACTATGACTCGGGAGCCGGTCGGGACCCAGGTGCGGAATGACATTTCCGCGAAACCACCGAGATCCATTAGATGTATAGTCATCCTCATTTTACAAATTGTCGGTCAATGACAAGTGTAACAGTGTTGACAGATATCCGGTTTGAATTTGTTGAAACTTCCTCAATCATGCGAGGTATCACTGATCAGCTCTTGGCCATCACGTCTGGGCAGCACAAAAGACACGAAGCCGGTTAACTACGACACTTGTACGGTTAACTACGGTACATCGTGGAAAAGAAACTCTTCGTATTCGTCTCCACGATGTCCGTTAAAGCAAGATGTTTCATGGCGATCTCAATAGAGGAATGCAAAGTCCCGAAGCAGCGTCCCCATTACTCGCCAGTCCTCGTATCGCACCCTCGAGTCGCCCTCCAGCTCTATGCATCACAAACTTCCGTATCCATAGGCGGGTTAAATATCCGACGAATAGGAAGTCTACCCACAAAGGTGACTCGCAGCGATGCGCCGGCACGAACAATTTACGTCTCAACTGCCAATGCCAAGCATTCGCACATAGGCGTCCAACTCCTCCCTTCCAACAACCCGCGCCATCTTCCCTCAATGTATATACATTTACCCGCCCTAAGGATTCAAGATCTCACTCCGATCTATTCCAAGCCACCCCGTCCTGCACAGCATTCTCGCACAGTATGCCTGGCTCAGTAATCCCTTTGTTAACCCACAATGGCCCTTGCGGCTCGCTTCGCTACTGATTGGCCCGGCTGCCGCAGCTCGCGAATCGAGATCCTTTCATCGATGTGCAATGCAGATAATGATAACGGCAGACGGGGCGTTGCGGCACCGGCTAGTCGAGATGTGATAGCGATGATGTGATGATGGTCGTTTTTCATGAACGGAGGGTTCCCCGGCGGGCTGGGTTGGAATGCGCAACGGCATGTGATGTTATGCCGTGTCTTTTAGCGTAGGAATGCGGCGTAGTGGTTTGTGATCATTCTTGAGGTGCGAATTCCATGTTCGGGTCGTTAAGAAGTCGATGTCTGGGATAGCCATGTAGTTATCGTGTTTCGAGGTTAGGTTTGCAGGAATAGTCGTACGATTGCGCCGCCCCAAGCCGAACCATTGAGAACAACGTATGATAATGCATCGGGTAGATACATGCGATTTGTTGAGTGAGGTCATTGAAGC